TTTGGAACCACGAATTTAGTATGTCTAATTCGATTTTGACCACATAATAAAATAATATTTAACCCTTTCCATTCGGCACTTTTAGATTCTGAATTTTTAAAGAAACTGTCGATATTTTTTTCCCAACAAGCATATTTTCACAGCGAAGCAAAAATTTCCAAGGGTCACACTTTGAATTAATTTGAGCAGCATATGTTTTTTGACTACAAATGGCAGCGATTTAGCACGTTGTGTGAAACGTTCGAGACCGAAAAAAAAGTTCGTTATGCGCATCGTCCATTGTGCGAGTCGTACGTTATGCGGGGTATCACTTTATGTATGAAAGACATCATTTGGAAATCAAAATTTTAAAATATCCTTTCTAAAACCTGACGACTTTATTGCACTTATGGAAAAATAGGAAAAATTTGTGTGCTAGTTTCAGAACTAGATGTACCACAAATGATGAATTTCTAATATTGATCTTAAGTATAATTATAATACACTAATAAATAAATAAATATTAGTGATAGTAAATGTTTGATTACATACTTTGGTTATCCAAAACCGCTAATGCACCTTTATAACGCAAATATTTTTTCTTTTTTTATTTTTTTTATTTTTTTTAACAGCAATCAGAACCTAATACTCCTATAAGTTGTTGTGCTGATTTTGACTTAATACTAGTCTGTTTGATAGATGTCAACCCAATCGGTTGTCACATCTCTGTATTATAAATTGTTATTACAATTTCTGTAATAGGGCGAGTATTTTTATTGGTACAGCAATGCCGAGTGAGTGCTATTTTCACTTGGAAACATATTGCTATCTATATTTTCAAGTGAAAATCGTTGTCACTGCTGCCTTACAACAGGCTGCTCGAAGTGGGTATCGAACCCGGGATCTCTGAAACAAGTCCCGTCGCTCTTAACCGCTTACCTACGGGCGTGCCCAAACGCAAATAAATATTTGAGAAACTCGTAATGCGAGGTTTTTATACCCAATATGTTTGGGAAATGAATTATATGATTTTATGTTGCTCTATTTGACTATTCCCCCATTCTGTGTAAGCGATTTCCCGTTGAACAAAGTTTTTACATAATAATAAATACAATGATGATACAGGAGCATAAAACATCATGAATTCACTATCTGTATTCTATTATTACGAGCATAAAAATTCTGTTACCAGAGCCAAAATTCATTTTTGCCTTGGGCAGGCGGCCAAAAGTTTGTCCTTCCCTTTTGAATTATTATATCTATCAGATCGGAAATTAGAACTGCAGATAGATCAATTAAAAAACTGCGGAGTCTTCTCTAATGGGAGTAAAATTTATTTTTTTATTGTTTTAAACTTTCTTGTTCTTTCGTTAAAATCTGTTTCGAGTTAAGTCATGATTTATTTGCACAATTATGACTTAGAATATAATGGGTTCGCTATAGCTGCACTTGCTTTTGTAAATAATAAATATATGCAATTAATGTAATGTATTTATTAAAATAAATACATAATAGTGATACAAATTACGCCGATTCTAAAATGAATTTGAACTAAAATGGGCCATTAGTGAATGGTTTATTTATTGAATTCGAATTTGTGCATCAATTGATTCGGGTTTTGAAATTTATGAAGTATAGAAAATCCAAACATATACCAGTAATTGGGTTTATTTTAACATTGCGGGCAATAGGATAAAAGAGAGTAATGAAAATTATTCAAGCTGAAATTTAATGAGATATTTAATTTGAAATATGATCTATGCTATAGTTATTTAGCTTTGTGATAAGCTGGAAAAAAATTTTAAAGTTCATACTGATATGTATTTGTAATTTTAAAATACTATAATTCATTTAAAACTCGTTATCTGATAGCACAACCTGTAATTCTGTTTCAAAAATTGGAAATTGTTATAGGGTAGGGCGGGGCACAAAGGTCTAATTTGATTTTGACCAATTATATTGTGAAAACAAACCAATTATATCATAACATTAACACATATCAAACAAGCAGCTATCTGACTATGTTCAGTAAAACTCCCAGGCTAATTCATAATTGTAGTAATATGTTGTTTTTGCTGTTTTCCAAAAATTTGTCACCTGGTCCTTTTTACCCTATAGATGGGGTAAAGTGGGACAGCCAGGGCGCAAACAGATCTTATTCTTATTTTGAATTTTAAAGAAATTTTTTGACATTATTGTTATAATATTCAACCAAAGCAAATTATAATTTTCATGGCTACATTTTTCACAAAGATAACAATGCATATAACCTAGATCTGGTATTTCGTCAGAAATATACAGCAGCAGAATTGAAATAACGATTTATTTAATTTATCTTTTGTAAAATTGCTTTTATTAACTTAATCTACTTTTCTCTTTGCTATTTTTTATTGTTTACACCTTTGCTAGGTTAAAGAATCAGTTGATCCTTTTTATACCATCCACGTGTAAGCTTTTATAAAAGTTAAATAAAAACAACTACGAATCTAATTTGAAATTAACAACACATCCTAATGAATAATTAAATAACGTATCTTTAAAATTATATTAAGGTCTCGTAAACTAAACAACAGTGCTCAAAACCAAAAAACTAACAACGAAAGAAAATACTTTTGTTATGGATTTTCGAACATTTTCGATTATCTCCCGATAGTAAACTCATTAGAATCAAAGTAAAGGCTGACTATACATCTTTTTCCCTCTACTTTTAAATATTGTTGTAGAAAATTTCTAAACTTTACTTGTTTTTAAATTATCGGTGGTGGTCTTTTTTACCCGCGGACCTTAAAGCCCCGCTCTACCCTACCACCCTACCCTACTACTAAGAAATAAAATATTCGATTTATTTCATAAATTCTGATCGGATTTTGATACCATTTGGTAATTCGTCACACAAAACTCATCAATAAGAAATGCATTTGCATTTTCTGAATAGTTTCTGCATTTTTAGAATCAGTGCAAACATTTTCAAGAAAATAATGTCAAGTGTAAAAATTACAAGAACATAATTTCAGAAACAAGAATAGAAAAATTGCATTTCGATTTGAAATCGATGTCTACGGTAAAGATAAAATATGCAAAAGGATATAGTATTTATTAGAAACAAATTCGACAGATTTTAAAAGCTTATTTATGCAATGTGTTCTTAAAGAAGCATCATCTGATTAATTTACTCTTTATATTATGCACTAAGTACTCGAGTTTTAATTTTTGATAATAGTACAAAATAAAAAAAATAAGAATAGAAAATTTACTGATTGAATACTGTTAACTAATTCATTTATAATTTAGTACTTTATAATTTATTAATGTTACTTCATACGACTGCACAATTTCATTTACTTTATCAAAATTGAATAAGATTAGCCCAGTAGTAATTGCTAGACTTTGCCGGTAAACAATAATAATAATTACATATATGTACATTATATATATATATATATATATATATATATAAAGCGAGAGGTTTTTCACACGTAACACGGTCTCCAAACTGACAACATGTTCGTTTGGAAAAACCTTTTTTATAATAAAATATATTATTTATTTTAATTTTACTATTTTTTTAAAAAAAAATTTCATAACTTGACGTCTTACCAATTATTTCATAATTAATTATTTTTTAGTGCAATTTTGTGTGTTTTTTGTGTTATTTTTTAAAAACTTATTTGTATGCACTGAAGATGGGTCAAATCAAGACCCGAAACGTATGTTTCTCTAAATAAAAATATTTTTCAATAAAACTGTTTTTTTAATTACTGGATGGATGCCCAAGAAACAATTTTATCATATATATATATATATATATATATATATGTGTGTGTGTGTGTGTGTGTGTGTGTGTGTGTATGTGTGTATATATTCTCAAAATTTAATATATATATATAAAGCGAGAGATTTTTCACACGTAACACGGTCTCCAAACTGACAACATGTTCGTTTGGAAAAACCTTTTTTATAATAAAATATATTATTTATTTTAATTTTACTATTTTTTTAAAAAAAAATTTCATAACTTGACGTCTTACCAATTATTTCATAATTAATTATTTTTTAGTGCAATTTTGTGTGTTTTTTGTGTTATTTTTTAAAAACTTATTTGTATGCACTGAAGATGGGTCAAATCAAGACCCGAAACGTATGTTTCTCTAAATAAAAATATTTTTCAATAAAACTGTTTTTTTAATTACTGGATGGATGCCCAAGAAACAATTTTATCATATATATATATATATATATATATATGTGTGTGTGTGTGTGTGTGTGTGTGTGTATGTGTGTATATATTCTCAAAATTGTTCTTTTTTGCTCATTGATCAGCGCACAGTTTTGTCGTCAGAATCGAGGTAAACTGTTGTTATTGGTTAGTGGTAAAATTCCACTTGCAACTATTTATTTTATACCGGCATTGTCTCAAAATATTCTAAATACTTTGAAATTTGAAAAATGTAAATAACCAATGATCAAAAATTCATACGCATGACGAGTATACTCGTTTATGGAAAAAATTCTGCCAATTCTGCATGACCAAAACTCTGCCTCTTCTCTAGGACGAGTATACTCATCAATCACAGCTAACTGATTAATAATAAAAATTTAAAAAAAATACCAAATATCACTTATGATTTTTCCTTGCAGTTGGAATCAGTGCTTCTATTTAGTTTTCTCACATGGCATGACCATGAACCATGTACCTCTTGTTTTGACATTGTAATAAATAGCATAAACCGCATAACACTGTAATGTGAATGGAGCATTTAATCAAAATATATTTAATCATTAAGTGAATAACTTCATAATTTGATTATTAAATATTTTCGTAATTGAGCTATTAATACGTACGATTAAATGCTTGTGACTGAGATTGTTTACATGTGAGTCAAAGACGAAAAATTCTCGCAAATATGCTGGGCCGACTATCGGGTTCGAAATGATGTCATGTCATAATAGACCTGAGAATTCATTGTTATAGATTTCTCCCCACCATCGAAATTCAATTGTCCAAGTCAATTACATACAAAACCGGTAAACCAGTTTAGTTAACACTTAATCGCGCTCGGAGTTTCATACGAACCGTCTGAAATTTATCAATTTTATAATTAATTGACATTTTTTTTATTTAACAATTGTGTCTGTTTTGACAATAGTGCCTGATATTCTGCACGAATTAATAAAATTGTAAGTATATTTTAAATAATAGGTCTATGGGTTTGGCGTTCTACCTTTAACAGTAGATGCCATCAACTTTTATTTAATATAAACAGTTTCAAAATGTTTATTAATTAATGTCTTAAAATTAGATTTGGTATAACTGTTGAACAAATATTTGCTAATTGATCATTTTTCAAATGATCAAAACGAACACTTTTGTGGAAAAAAAGATTTTATTGTGGTTTAAGGAGTAGAAGGTGGGCGAAAACTGGTGACTTATTTAAGCCGAGATCGTAGTATTGTAACATTTATACCTTATTTTTCAATATGATTATTATTTTTTATATCTCATTCAATTACATTCTGTTTTCATGAACAAAAACATTTAGTAATTGTTATGACTAATATCTGTAAAGTTAGAATCAAAATAGAGTGATAAGCTTTTGTTGTTGATTGAAGAAATATTTCTTAACTAAAAAAACGTTACATCAACATGATTATTAACAAACATTAAAATTACATGGATTGTTACACGTGACTTTGCTGTTTTAGTGTCATTAGTAACTAATTGTAGATAGTATGTGTAAGTACAAGAATGGGGCAACCGATTAGATTGATTCAAAATATATTCGATTCGTGCTGGCTAGTTTTTTTGCAAAGGTCCACCCGTTTGGGAGATACAGAGCAAAAAGTGCTGAGAATTACGGTTTTTGAGAAGACGAAGCGATTCGAATAATTCAAACACGTTTTGCTTGAGTGTGATAAAAGGATTAGTTTTCAAGAAAGGCATTTTTTTAAACTTCAAAACATTTATGGTAGGGACAATTTGCCTTAAGGCACGATACCATGCACAACTAGTTAAGTTCCCGAAGGAGAAATTTATGTTTTCATCAAAAAGTCTGATTCGCTAATTATATGTTTCCTCGACGTTTCAAGCCATTCTGAATCGAATGAGATCAAATTTGGCAAAACTGTGTGTGTGTGTATGTGAAACATTTTTTGCCGTAAATCGACGTTTTCTCATAAACGGCTGGACCGATTTAAAAAATTTAAAAGCCATTCGATGTAGCTCGATGAGGACTACCGTTTATCAATTTTGCGCGACGATCAGCCAAAACGTTTCTTTGTAAATAGCAGAAAAAAGAATTATTTTTCGTCTACATTTATGCCGTCGGAACTTTTTTTTGACGATTTTTATGAAACTTTTTTTTGACGATTGATATCATGGTCTTACAGAACATACTGAAATATTACGGCCCTACGGCAAGTAGTTTATTTTAAAAATTTATCAAAGTTTGGAAGAATATTTTCCGCCTTCCGTCCCGGCTTTTTCTAAAAGCAATATTTGTCCCGGTTTTAGGTGTTTTGTCCCGGATTGTCCCGGAATTTTGAAAATGTTTTGATTGCCAATATATTTTTAAATATATTTCAACTAGAAAATTTGAACCCAAATAATGTGCATATAAGTTTTTAGCTCACCAACAATTTAGCCATTTATTTTGCTGAATTTTCGGATACAATGCCTTTTCACACGAGAATGTAATTTGTTGATGGTGAGCTTATTTTGAAATAGTAACGTGCCTATCATATTGTTATACGACATTTTTGTAACTTTGGTGCTTAGTATTATAATATATTTATTGATGATAATATATAAGGTTGTCAAATATCTCCCTTCCGCCTTTTTGTATTATAAACCAAGAGCAAAAAAGCGGAAGGGAGATATTTGACAACCTAATAGCATTAGTCTTATAATTCGAGAAATGAAAGGAATATTGTAGGTGTAGTGTAGTTGGCTAAATACTCTAACTAAGCGAGCCCAATAAAAAATGTTTCATCCCACCGCTGTAATTTTTTTTTACAAAATGCATTTCTGTTTACTTCCTGTATTATCTGTGCACAACACATAATGAGAAATATTTTTTTTCTCTTTGGATTCAAAATCAAAGTTTCAGCATTGTATATTTTCCCTTGTAAAAATCGTGCTGTGATGCTTAAGTAAACGGATGACAAAAAGTCAATAATAGGTTTCCATTCGCGTTCTCTTGTTAATCCAAGCAAAAGAAAAAAACAAAATCAGCATATATATTATATTCCATTCCATTCCGTAAATGCCTGTGCCAACATCTTAAATCTGTAGCGTTCCAAAATCAACGTTTTGTATTATATTCAAATTCTAATTTCAGCTCCAATATGACACCTGTTCTGGCGGTATGCCTGCTACTGTCGGGATCTTTACTGGTCGAGGGCTATTCAAGTAAGTATTCAATTCTGCTAAATATTGTAGATAACATGGCTCTACAAACATATTATTAATATAAACATCTTTGGTATGTGAGAATATAACGCGGTTTAATTAACGATTAGATTAATTTAATGAATATTCATTAATTATTTATATAATTTAATTATATATTGTTTATTTAGAATATATAAATTATATATGCATTTCAAATTAGTTATCAGCAGTCAAGTGACGAAAAAGCAAATTTAATTGTTGAGATTTTAATTTTCCTTTTTCAATTATTTGGGCATGTAAAGGTACTTTCAAATTAACTAACGGGGCGTCCATTAATCACGTGAGGTTTTTAGGGGGAGGGGGGATTTGATAAAAAATCACGAAATATCACGGGAGGGGTATAGTAAGGTATCACGTATATTCATTTGTTAACTGATTTAAAAAAAAATCAAACATTTTCAAAAAAAATTTCAAAAATTTGTTTTTTTCACGCAACTGAAAATGCATGTGATGTTTTGTGGAGGAGGAGAGGGATAATTTTGAATATCACCATGTATCACTAAGGGGGAGGAAGTTCCAAAAATCCTTAAAAACTCGCTCATGTGATTAATGGACGCCCCCTAATCGTAAGACCTACGTTTTTTAATTATATATCGGTCATTCTTACTTAAATCATTGAGCAACTTAACACATTTTTATTTTATATCCTTTACTATCATTTTATATCGTGTTCTATCCAGTGTTTTTACAGTAGAGGACCTTTGGGGCTTGTTGTAATAGTTTTTTTTTTTTTGAGTAAATATATATATTGAGATCAACTGAATATATTTCTACCAAATACACATGGATAGTTGCTGTAACTATTTTTCTAACAAATCAAGTATGAATAATTCCACAACTACTATTCATTATTTCATAATTAACCATTTTCTAGAAAAAGTGCGATGTTACAACATACTCCGTGTTTGGGGTTAGTTGTAACACCTATCGCGGCAAATAGTAACGGCGAAAAAACGTAAATTATAACTCTGATAATTTATTCTTTACTCATTTTTAAATTTAAAATCAGTAGAAATTAAATTTTATGTTATATCAATTTTATATTATCTGTCAAAAATGACAGACCTGCACAGTTCTGTTTACTGCTTTGGCCTGCGGGACAGTAGCCAAGAAAATATTATGCAGGACCGTTCACATGTCCAATCGAGACAAAATAACAGACATTATTTGTTGTATCCTATTCTAATGATATTTCTACTCCATGTTACAAGTTACTTGGCTTCACGTATTTCACAACTAAATTTTTCATTCATTTTTCGCATTTATGTGATTTATGATAATGATGAATAAAACCGTCCGTTTCGACAATTTCCAAGAAATTTAAAATTGCAAATACGTTACAACTTAATTTTAATTGGCAAGCTTCTGTCATGCCATTCTTATATTTATATAATAAATTTAGTCGTTATGATATAATTAATTTTTATTACTTAATCCAATATTCCTTGGAAGTACAGAAAATAATGAACTACTAGTTATTGACTGCAATGCGGATATTTTTAATATCACATATTCCTTAACTGCAAGAAGTGTAGATGCATTGGATCATTAGGGCTTAAAACATCAAGTTGTAATTCTTACACTTAATTTTTATGCAATACCGGGATTCGACCCGAGTATCTTTACGATCCGAACTAGGCCTATTACCATTACGGCTACGCCAGATTCGCCGCATGATCCTAGTTTTTTTAAGCAAATTTTTTTCAATAGTTTCAAATAATATTCACTAAAAAACATCAAGTCCATATGATATCCTAATCACTACATCTTAATTTGGCACGTTATCTAAAATTTGACAATAAAAGCTAGATGTTTGCATTGAATTTACATTAGAGCTAAAATACGCCGAGAAGAAATAATAAACTAATACGTGCTGTATATTGAACAAGTTTGTGTTCTAATCGTCTTATACAATATCCGGTATGTTATATAATAATAAACGTCATTCTTATCAAAGTAGACTTGTTTTTACTCTAATGTTATAATTTGGTGCTCTACTGTGATATAATTGTTATGAACATAATTATTGGAATAAGTTGGCATTTAATCAAAAGTAATATTAGTTTCGAATTTTGTACCTTCATATCGAAGAAAACTATGAAATGCCTAATCTTTACGAAAAGTACTGAATCTTTATCACAGAGTAAATACTCAGCAATATAATTTTTATCCAGTAACAGGGGGTCGTGCAACAGTTTCCAAAATACTTATTTCGAACATAAACCATGACACGTAAAATGTTTTAATAGGTATACGACCACTTATACTAGTTAACTATATAAATTTCAGTTTATCCTTGTTAAGTTAGTTAAGTACTATTTATTTACATTATTTACATAGTTACATGTAAATTTAAAAGCCGAATATTGAAATTCTTAATTGAAGTTGGATTTTCCACGCAAAATTCTTGGTACTTAAAATCAAAAGTTCGAAATTATTTTTTATGATTTGTTAATAGTTCTCTGCTATTGGTAATAAAAAGTGAAATATTTTATGGTATGAATATTCGTCGTTCTTACACGAAGCCTTGTTATCTATTCATTTAAAATGATCGTTGTAACAAAAGACAAGTTGTTATCAAATTTAGTTATTTGCGCAAGTTAACCGGTCCATTATATTTAATGTTTTTCTTCGCGGAGATTTAAATAAATCGCTCAGCCACATTAACCATTAGTTAATGGTAATTTTCTTAATGTTTCTTTGTGATCATGTTTTTCGTGGGATCAAAGTATATACAGTTATGTAACTTGACTTGGTTCATAGATACAGTTCAATTAAAGATGAAAAACCTTATTCAAAATAGATCTTTTAATAATCATTAGAAATGGCAATGTATCGTATATTATTTTCAGATATTTTCAAAAATGTGTAAAATATAGTTTTGTGATTTTAAAATTTTATTCATTTATTTGTTTGTTATTTACTAATAACTAGGGTAGGGCGGGGCTAGTTGAGCAACTTTTTACTTAAACGGATGTAGCTCTTCAATGAAAAGTCTCAATAAATTGCTATACGGCTTAATGGATTTGTTGTTTATCGCTTAACAAAAGTGTTAATACTATTTTTTGGTAGTAAGTAAAATTTAAAAGCTACAGCTGTTTAAATGCAAAAAGTCCTGTATGCTCAATGTACCTCATAGGTGGGGCAAGTTGAGCACTAAGAAAGTATAATGAAATCATAGGTTCAATGTCGATTAGTGATGAAATAAAATAGGTTTTTAATAACCGGTTCTATATTTATAGTCTTTATTGACAGAAAAAACAAAACTTATAGTAATTTTCTTTGAATAATTAACCAAAAATAGAATCAACAAAACAATATCGTATCTTAGGAATTATTTTACCATTATATTGAGTATTTTTGTTTAAAATCATTATTTCTTTATATTATTGCTCATAGACTTAGCTTAAATCTTAAAAATAATGATTAATTTCTGGAAGTTAATGGTAATTGTCTTAGTGACAGAACAATTTAGCAACTGTGCTCAACTAACCCCAACTCGGAATTTCAGAATAAAAGTGAGTTTATAAAAAAAACGTGAGAAATATACCCAGAATCTGTGTGCATATTAAAAGTACTATAATTATATAGAAGAATAACATTTACCTGATTAAAAATAAATAACATTTGACTAAAGCAGACGAAAACTCGTGATGAATGACTTTTTTACTTTTTGGTCTCAAAACGGCCGTGAGCCTCACTCATTTGTCCAGCGGCCACTAGCGATCGCGGGATGTTTATTTCTCCCAAACATCAATCTTTCCGCCATATAATGCCTAAACGTGAATAGTTTTCGAGATGCTCAACTTGCCCCTATGCTCAACTAGCCCCGCCCTACCCTACTCAAATTCGTAATTGAGCTTTTATTGATCTTCTTAATCTCACATTTGCAGAGTACGGTAGAACATGTGCAGATATAGGATGCACACCCAGCGAAGTCTGTGTTATGGCCGAAGATCCTTGCAGTTATGGCCAAAGAGATAGCTGTGGAACATACCCGACTTGTAAACGCAAAGATGCAGTTTGTGAGTAACACAAAATATTTTTCAGAGTAACAAATGTAATAAACATAATATAAACATGCACCATTTGAATTGTCATTAAATTAGAAATGTTTTAAAATCGTAGTAATGCTTATGTATTATTGTACACGAGCATATTTAATATAAATTCTATTATTATAGCATCAAGTTCTGATCCCAAGCCGTCCGCTCCGGCCGCTAAGCCATCAGCACCTGAAATGTATCCTGGAGGCTTATCCAACTTCGGAGGTGGAACTTCTTCTAATTCAGGAGGTAGCTCGAAACCAAGCTACCCCGCCAGTGGAGGAGGCCATTCTGCGCCCAGCTACCCAAGCGGCAATGACAATTCTTACTCCGGAGGAAATGGGAACCGTGGCAGTTTCTATGGCGGTGGTGATAATTACCCTAGTGGCGGCGGAGGCGGTAGCCGTTACCCAAGTTACCCAAGTTCAGGCGGCGGTGGTCAATCTTACGGGGGCGGTTCAAGACCGGGCAGCAGTTCAAGTTCTGGTTTTGATCTTTCATCTCTTCTTAGCGGATTTGGAAGTGGCGGATCCGGATCGAACGGCGGTTCTTTGACTAGTTTGATTAACAGTTTAAGCAACCGCGGTGGCGGTAGTAGTTCTACAGGTAGTGGTGGTTCCTTGAGCTCTTTACTAAATAGTTTTGCCAGTGGCGGCAGTGGAGGATCGTCCTACCATGGATCATCGTCCTCTTACGGTGGAAACCCTTCACAGCAAGGTGGCACTTTAACGCAATTGCTGAATCAGTTTGCAAATAGTCCTAACACTAGATCAGGAACGCCATCTAGAAGCGGTTCCTCGTCGGGGGGTAGCACACTGCAAACTTTGTTGCAAAGCTTCGGAGGCGGAGGTGGCGGCAGTTCTGGTTTGAGCCTCGGAAGTTTGCTTGGTAAGAGCTTAATTCTGTTATATGCATATTTAATGTATTTTTAAACGAAACGAAAACGAAATTTGTAATATTAGTTCTAAATGTGTAAGTTATAATAGTTTCGTTATGAGAATGTCTAAACGAATATTTCTTTCTATCGTGTGAGCAGGTTACTTTTTAATTGAAGAAAGTAGTGATATAGGTCATAAAGCAATGTACAAATATATTCTATATATCTTAGTCAGGTGCCCCAGTGTTAATTAGATAGGTAAAATAGTGCATGGCTCTAGTGCATTGAGTACTGAATGATACAAGATTTAATATCTTGATAAGAAAAGATATTGTTCTTAGTCATTGCGTAGTCTACAAATTATTGGTCAGTATTTTTTTTGAAACTATATTTAAATGCGCCCTTGGATAGAATATGATGAGAAAAATAAATTGCGCGTCCTAATTCTTTTTCAAATTAATTAAATAGTTTTATGGCGATATACCAACATTAAAAGCTTAGTATGCTACCATTCTATTGCACATTTTGTTAGGTGCTTTGTGTAACCAGTATTTTAAAATCTTCCAAGTATTATCCGTACTTACATAGAGTATTAGAATTTTAATATTCCGTCCAGGAAAGTGTTATTGAAAGGAAATACTGCAATTGCAACTAATATTATATTTTTAACTTAAAATTTTCAGTCAATTCACACATGTCCAATAGTATTGCAAATTATGAATTCCAAACTTAAAATTCCCATACTGTACAATAGTTAAGATAACAATTATTTATAGCAAATTGAATTTAATTTTTATAAAACAGATACTATTTTTTAGAATGAAATGTTTATATAAGTTAGAATTATGTAAATAAACACAGATTACTTGAATAATTCACCTTGTTTTATTTAAATTAATTTTTTACGTTTTTGGTTTTTCTCTTTTTCTTTAAAAAAAAACAATAAATGCGCCTAACCAATAGCTTTAAAAAAACATAGACACTAATACATTCTACTTATTGCATTATCAGTTTTTTAACAAGAGAAAATATTTTACGAGACAACATTGTTACAATGGACGGTAGATGTAGACATTGAGCTCCGCGAAAATCATGATAAAAGTTAAGTAATTAATTGAGCAATCCAAGCCTAACACTTAATGAAAAAATTCGAAATAGATTGTTTGTTTGAAAATAATTGTAGTTTAATGCCGATCTCCATACTCATTGTAATAGTATTGTAATTCATAGTTTGACAAAAACCACTCTATCCAAATTTCTTCGTACATATTTTAAATTCATATGATTTTGTGAGGTGACGTATAGCATATCCAACTTTTTTGTACCTAACAGAATAATAGCATTTTTTGACTTATTGGTGATGGTAACATATTAAAAATATATCGTATTTGATTGACGAATATGAGTGCTTCAAATGTTTCAAAAATATCTTGTATAATTATGACGTTATAAGATTTTTTATATAATATAATGATTACTTTTATATTTAATCTATTAACACGATAATTCTACAAAAATATTTTAGACGTCGTTTAATATTATAAGCTAACGATCAGTTAACATTCAATCTCATCATTTTTGCATGTTATTTGCGCCTTTGTACTAAGAACTTAATAATAACTGGTTTTATGCATACATAATAAGCTTTCAATTAACAATACTAATTTTAATTGACCAATTTAGGATCATTAAATGGGCCAGGAGGATTTAATACGCGTCCCATTCAAAGAACCCAACCCGATCCTAGACCAAGTTATCCTTCACAGGGGGGCGGCGGAAGTAATCCCTATTATCCTACTCAAGGCGGAGGGGCCAATTACCCTAGACAAGGGGGCTATCCGAACTACCCAGCTCAAGGTGGATACAATGGCTACAACCCCAATCAGCCCCAACAGCCCAGTTTGTACCCTAGTTTGAACAGTGCACCCGACAGCAGTAAAAGAGTCGCTGCAGCTAACCAGGCATCATCTGCCAGCACTGAAAATACGATAGGCTGGGTGAAACCGAAATAATCTAGAATAAATCTATAAGTAAGCTTGTTATTACCGTCAATACGTTGAATATTTCGAAAAATGCCTTGCAAGCAGATGTAAATAAATTATGAAACATTTATTACCGCAATATCACTTGATATAATTGTAATAAATCTTCACTTGTGATATATGAAAAGCACTTTTAAGGACGTGCCTACAAATTAGGCAAAAACTAATTTTTTTACAAAATTTAAAAATGCAACTACTCTAGCATATATATCTTGAAAATAAGCATATGATTTTTATACACATCGATATTAGTTGTCAGGGAGTTTCCTTATTTTTAGAATTACCACTTTTTGTTTTTATCACTAGACGAAGTTAAAAACAATATTTTTAACTAAATCACTAAACACTCTTTTTATTATTTTGAATTCTTGGTGATTAATCTTTCTCTGTGGTTAGAGATTCTTGCCTGTAGCAAAATATTCTATTAAATCGCCAAACTTGATAAACTACGTAGCTTACAATACTCTTTAATTTTTGAATATTGTATATTTAGGTTTAAATAACAGTGTTGCCAAAAATATATTAGCTGTTAGTACTTTAACATAATAAATGTAATAGTATAATACATGAATGCTCGGTGTAATTATTAAATTTAATGTAATAATTTTGTAGTTGTAATATTTTCACTGTGTTTTAATGACACCACTATATAACAATAAAAAAAGTAAAAACAATGTCAGTTTTGCTTAAATAAATTTGTGATAGTCTAACAAATTAAAATCAGATGTAAGATGTTGAATCAAATATGGTGCTTGCAGCACAAAATCGTGCAATAGCAAAATTTCGGCAAATAAATGGTAACTTGTGTCTTTAAAGCATACGCGAAGAATATTGAATAAAATCTCTAGTTTCGTTTCATCATTTGCTCAAGTGACCAAAAATATCAAGTGCTTCATGTTGGTGACTATAGTGTGTGGCTTCTTAACTAAGCAGAGTAAGTATAAACATAATACACTATGGCTATAATTAACTTCCCGTAGGGTAAGTTGTAGTAATCGCAAAAAAATCGAAAATAAAAATTTTAATATATCTTTACGTTTCAAAGGTTTCTGAATATTTTGGCATACCTTAGAAAAAATTGATGTATGTACGTGTGTGTGTATGTATGTATGTATGTATGTATGTATGGATACAATTTTTCGTCCACGTTTTTGGGCGCACGAGTCAACCGATTTGAATGGTTCAAAAAACATTCGGTTCCTATCGATAGGGAGATATGCTGATTAATTTTTGGCAAAGCCAGGTTCAGCCGTTACGGAGATACGAAGCAAAGAGCGCAGAAAATACAAATCGAGTTTTTGAGAGATCAAATTATTCTATATTCTATAAAATATAGAGATTTTATTTCGTACCAAGATTTTTAATTTAAAATTCAAGTATATGGTTCAAACAAATGTCTTTGACATTATCGTCTTCTATCTTTCGACACTTCTTAATATGAGAAACTATGAGGACTAGCAGTCCATGTCTTACAAGGTTAGATTTTTTCCGGCAAATATATTTGTGCATCATATTAAACAGCATTTTAACATTTAACTTGTTAAATATTTCATGTTGTTTACCATATCTTTATATGAACTCTTCAATTCTATATTTCTTTACTATTTACATTATATATTTTTATTCATATTGTGCTGGCCTTAAACTTATTGTTTACGATTATTATATTATTTTTGCCAAAAACTTAAAAGAAGACTTACAGTAAAAATAAAGATAAAGTTTATTAAAGTTCAAATACGTTTGTATTACCTTAAACAGAAATACGGCATTCATGCTAAAAAATTAGAACAAATGTACATTGTATATTTAAAAAAAAATACATATTTTAATAAATTTATTTTCATAAGAGAGTATATATTTTCAATATTTTTATATAAAGTCAAGAAAACTATTCAAAACTATTACATTTAAAAATTACAATAGTTAAGCCTACTCCACATATCTTCTCTAGTATAATTAGTGCTGCTTCGAAAGACTTATCATCACCATGCTGGTTATGAAAAGCGATTGAATCTTGGTCGGTTCTTCCCTTGCAGATAATATTTGCCAATTTCATAAGGTAAGGCATAGGATTTCTGACTGTTTAAGAAAGTATCACTTATCCGATGCCACTACCTGAATTTACTCCATAATGGGAAGCAAAATCCACCCATTCCAGGTTGAATAAGAAAGTCAAGCCTCTTCGTTTTTACGAGTGTGGTTAGATGGAATTTGGCGTTCCGATCGATGAGCCTTCATGTTGGTGAGCCTTTCGCGCAATGTTTTCATCCGATTAGGAACTGCGATGAGGTGAGCAACCATGGTGGGGATCTGTGGCTGCTGCAGTTTCGCAAATCCAATGAAGGACGACGATTACCTTCTTCAAGTCGTCCAGAAAATTTATTCAATTTTGGCTTCGAGGTCCATCAACATACGGTCCACATCATAGATTAAAGTTAGCAAACTTTAATTAACAGAAGGTGCTAATGAATTTGTAGCAATTTTTAATAACTTTAAAAGCAACGATTATTATTATAATAAAAAAACTGGTTTAAAATATAAATTTATAAAAACATGTATAAAATATTGACGTAGTGTTTACTTTCTTTTGTTTGCCATTTTGTTGTTTTATTATAATATTTTTTATTGGCATAGTTGCCAGAAAAAATATATCATAGAAAACAAAAGAAAGTCAACACTACGTCAATATTTTATACATGTTTTTATAAATTTATATTTTAAACCAGTTTTTTTATTATAATAATAATCGTTGCTTTTAAAGTTATTAAAAATTGCTACAAATTCATTAGCACCTTCTGTTAATTAAAGTTTGCTAACTTTAATCTATGATATGGACAGTATGTTGATGGACCTCGAAGCCGAAATTTAATAATTTTTCTGGACGACTTGAAGAAGGTAATCGTCGTCCTTCATTGGATTTGCGAAGCTGCAGCAGCTACAGATCCCCACCTCGGTTGCTCACCTCATCGCAGTTCCTAATCGGATGAAAACAATGCGCGAAAGGCTCACCAACATGAAGGCTCATCGATCGGAACGTCAAATTCCATCTAACCACACTCGTAAAAACGAAGAGGCTTGACTTTTACATTCAACCTGAAATCGGTGGATTTTGCTTCCGATTATGGAGTAAATTCAGGTAATGGCATCGGACAAGTCATAATTTCTTAAACAGTCAGAAATCCTATGCCTTACCTTATGAAATTGGCAAATATTATTTGCAAGGGAAGAACCGACCAAGATTCAATCGCTTTTCATAACCAGCATGGTGATGATAAGTCTTTCGAAGCAGCACTAATTATACTAGAGAAGATATGTGGAGTAGGCTTAACCAATGTAATTTTTAAATGTAATAGCTTTGAATAGTTTTCTTGACTTTATATAAAAATATTGAAAATATATACTCTCTTATGAAAATAAATTTATTAAAATATGTATTTTTTTTTTAAATATACAATGTACATTTGTTCTAATTTTTTAGCATGAATGCCGTATTTCTGTTTAAGGTAATAAAAACGTATTTGAACTTTAAAAAACTTTATCTTCATTTTTGCAGTAAATCTTGTTAATATTAAGTTTTTGGCAAAAATAATATAAAAATCGTGAATACTTAATTTAAAGACAGCACAATATTATCAAAAATATGTTATGTACATTATATAATATGTAATGTAAATTTCATATAATTTGATAAAAATAATATTTTGTGTGATTATTAGTGAATTGACAATTAGAATTTGTTCATAAATTATATATTCTTCAATAGAACTTTATTACTGTTCATCAAGCACTTATGAAAGAACGATTTAAAAAAAATTTAATTAAATTCATAATTTTAGGAACTTCTAGTGTGTCATGTAGAATTCTAGCAATGAAGTGTAAAGTCACTGGGTTTCTCTAAAACTAATTTGATGACTTTATTTTAAAATCCTTGTATTTTATTAATCTCCCCTGCGAAAATTTGTATAATTGCTAAATTGTTTGCGTAGTTATCTTGATTAATGTGAAAAATCACACCGGCAGTTAGTTGAAACAGAACCTTGGGGCAAGTTTTTTTTTATATTTTCTCAAAATATCTTAATATATTGGGGCTAGTTGTAACATACATGAATTCTATGCAGATTCAAGTGAAGATGATTGGGTGGAATTCATAGTTTGTAAGATGTGGGCACATGCAAATTGTGTTACAGGTGACTATATATTTTATTATGAAATTAATTATAGTTTACGGTGATTTACGATAAGAATTTATATTACAAGAGACAATATATTTTTTATTTGTATTAATTAGAGTTAATACGTTGATGTATGAACAGAATTACTTAGAGACAAATCAATGTTCTTAAAAATAAGTAGAGAATGAATTATTAGCCCCTGTATATGATACAACTAGCCTCAAACAATAGGTAAGTTGTACCGCAGCACTTTTTCTAGAAATTGATTAGTTGTGAATAAACAACATTTGTCGTTATATTTTTAGCTGATTCGGTATAAGAATAGTTACAGAATCTATTCATCTTTATTCATATACAAAAACCAACTGTTACAACAAGCTTTTATCTACCTATATTATCTTAATGTTAAATTTTGGGATAAACAATAGATGAAAATTTTCACAATATTTACAAGTTGTACATCAACCTAATATTAGAGGCATTTAAAACGCTTTTATTGATTTTTTTCTAATTAGGGTATAATACAAAAATAACAAAATAATAAGTCTACGACTGTGATCTCTGTGCATTGCTATTATATTAACTTTCCGTAGAGTTAGTTATAGTAATAGGCCGAAAATCGAAAATGAAATTTTTTGCATATCTTCACGTTTCAGAAGTTTCTGAACATTTTCTGAACACGGCAGATTTAGCATTTAGTTTCGGAGATACGAAGCTAAATATGCAAAAAATGGCTGTTTTTGAGGGAACTAAACATCCAATTTGAATTACATATTTAAAAAAACTTTCTGCTTGTGTTGATGAAACGATTGCTTTTGGGTAAAGATTTTTTTTTATTTTCAAAAAAAAAATTGCATTTTCCGAATTATTTGTATAAAAATAATTCGGATTTTAATTCTAATTCTAGTTAAAATTCTAAACATACTTATATACTTCAAATAAAGGATTTTAACTTGCTATTCAAAAGCGATTTTGGAAGCCTCTAAAGCAGGTTTCCCCCCTTAATAAACTAACTTTTTTTTGTTCATTTCGGATTACTAGGAAGGTTGCAATCGTGAACACGTGCCAATTACTTGCAAACCCTCACTTCAACATCTGCTAATTTTTAAAACTATTAAGATTTTTGTTAGTTTTTTTTCGTGGTCGTGAAGCGTTGAAAAATAAATTATAAAAAAAATTATTGCCTTTTTATGATAATTTAAAAATGACCTAAAATTCATGCCTTTACAATAGAATATGCCCTTCAATTAAATATTTATATAATTTGACTTATGTAAATTTTTAACTTCCCGTAGGGTAAGTTATAGTTATCGCAAAAAAATCGAAAATGAAAATTTTTATATATCTTTACCTTAGAAAAACATGGATGTATGTGTGTGTGTGCGGATACAAATTTTCGTCGACGATTTCGGGAACACCGATCAACCGATTTGAATAATTCAAAAAACATTCGATTCGTATTGATAAGGAGACGTGCTGATTATATTTTGGCGAAGGGAGGTCTAGCTGTTTCGAAGATACGGTGCAAAAAGTGCCGAAAACGGTAACTCAGTTTTTAAGAGAACGGAACGTCCGATTTTAATAATTCAAAAAACATTTAACTTGTATTGACAAGATGAAGAACTGATTAAATTTTTGGAAAGCCAGGTCCAGCAGTTATGGATTCTCAACAAAAATAAGTTAAAAAAAATGTCATTTGGCAGTCATAAATGTTTATCGGGCATATGTATATCAAATTTATATCACATTTTGTGTAAATGTTTTAATTAGTAAAGATTTTTAATTACGGTACGAGAAGTTTCAGCAATTTGCCTTAAGGCACAATGCCATGCACCACTAGTTATTATGAAAAAGGCGAGATTTCAACATTTTAAATTTACATTAGGTCTCCTAAAACTTCCTGTTGCAAATCGAGTTAATATTGCCGTACAGTTCGAGTCGTGCCTGATAGTTTTAGGACGGTGCGTTATAAGAGAGGTGCTAGGATGATTCTAGGTTTTCTATCCCTGCCATCGTATCGCATCGTGCACTATTTTTACGGCCATACTTCAGATCTATTCCGCGATAGTTCTGTTTGTGTGCCTCTAGTAAATATGTATTGTATGTATGGGTTGAATGTGTATGTTATTTTGTGAAAAAGTGGAAACTGATGAAGGTCGCTGCCAACAAATGCTTTAACGAGGTAACATCGAAATGCAAGTATGTTTTGTCCTAAAATTACTTAAATTATTCACATAAAACATATATAACGTTTATTAATTAGCCCTTAACCAGTGAAATAAATAGACTTTTCGAGTGTTTAATACAGTGCTGTGAAATAATATATTTATAATTATTAGTTATGGTGAGTACAAATGAATTCATTCCATAATTTAAGATGCATGCATCGTTAGATTCTATTTGAAAAACTATTTGAATACACAAACTCGAGTTATCTAGTATGCTCTGGGTAATTTCATTGATAAGGTAGGTTATGTTTAAAAACAAAAACATACCGTCTCATTATCGAACAATTTTGTTTGATTCGGATGCGCTAATAATCTATTATTACCATTGCAAAGTTTTGCAATAAGATTTATCAAAAGAATTTCAAGAATTCAAAAACATTAAATTTTCGACATGGCTCGGAAATACTATCCAGTTTTGAAGAGGCCGAAATATGCAGTTTACAGAGTATATAAATAAGGTAACATACATTGTTTTCAGTATTTCTAATTGTATTTAATTTCTTAGGCGTATGAAATGGATGCAATGGACATTCAAGCCGTAGAATCTAAATTAAGTGATGTCACAGTAACTGCAGTCCCTATGGCCAAACCAGCGCTACCTCAAATATCTGCTATAGTACAAAATATATCAACTAAGGACACGGGCTTATCTAAATATGCACAGTTGCTAAATGTCATCGAAGAAATGGGACGAGACGTTAGACCAACTTATTCAGGAAGCAAAAGTTCTGCTGAGAGGTTAAAACGAGGAATTGTGCATGCAAGAATTTTAGTTAAAGAATGTTTGATTGAAACTGAACGATCTGCCAAACAATAGAAAAGCTTATTGTTTTGAAGTAATCTTTCCATATTTTTTGAATGTTTCTTTATTGTAACTTTTGGGATTAATGTTTCAGTAAAGCAATGAGGTTCTCATGTAATACTTTTTTTAAAATTTAGTTCAATCTAAATATAGATTACTTGTTGGTAGTTATTGCTTCAAAGTGCATTTGTTAATGATGTTTTTGGAACATCATAAATTTGATACAGGTAAAATTTCTCAAGAGTTAAGAAGTTTGATATGTGAAAATTGTAATGAACTTCTATATAACCAGCAATATAATAATGCAAATATTATAAAATCGAAATGAGAACCCCTTTATTGCTTTGCAATTAAGCCAATGTTACTATTAGTTAATTTTATGATTAGGAGGTTATGATGGTAAATATCTTAAGTAAGTTTGATATATTCTTTTTAACAGAAAATTATTACTAAATAATACTAGGAAGCCACAGATTTGTAAGGTCATCTTGAATACTATGCCCATTCTCAGATAAGCATGCTTTATTATCTTAGTACATGAAATTTTATAATAATGTTGCATTGCAATTTTGGGTACATTTAATAAATGTTCCCTTATATCTGACAGTGAAATCCAAGAAAATTTTACCTTTGAATAAGCAAGTAGTAGTAAATTGACACTTATTTGAGAATGGCCTAATAATGTCAAGATGTTGAAATTTTGTTTTTCTCTGTTTCTTTTTTTAACTTAAGAAGAGAATTTTTGTTTTAATAAACTTTTTAATTTATAGTACAAAAATAAATTTGTTACAAAAGAGGTCTACACAGTTGTGATAATGTGATACAATTATTCAGGTGGTTATTTTTTTTTATTGTGAATATAAGCAACTGACCTCGATTAACTGAAATAATTTGTTAATCGTAATCAGAATTATATCATCATTGCAGAATACCAAATTGTGATAAAATAGTTTATCATAAAAAGACAAGTCATTTAAGCTGTTTAAAAACAAACATACCAATATTAATATTTAGTATTATATAAACTATTACTTAAGTAACATAATTAAATAAAGATAATGAAATGCTACAATAAACTGTCAGGTGATATGGGAATTAGTTACTTAATTAAAACATAGATACATTTGAAATATTTCTACACATTTATATAATATATAAATTGTAATTTATATATGCAAATGAACTACCTCAATTACTAAATGACATTCAGTCAAGTCCTACCCAAAGTTTACACAATATTGTATATGCATAATATTTTGCAAAGATATATTTTTAATTTGTGAAGAGAAACAAATAGTATTGTTAACTTAATAATGTAATTTATGTTTCACAATTTAATATTGAAATATTTTTACACAAAGTATTAGATATTATACATCAAAAGATATGCATTACTTAGCACTTTATACAGTGTCTGAAGGTACTGAAAATTATTAGCGTATTGAATTATTTAAACTGTTTGGGTATAATTATAGCTAATCATATATAAGTTTTTGTCTGGCATAGTGCTAATTCAAATCTGCATGTTTTTACTTTTAAAAAAATGCATTGTTTATTTAAATATACCAAGTTTGTCATCTGCATATGAGAAAAATATGTAATTATTATTAGTAATAAGTTGTACAAAATAGTTACCAATTCCAAATCAATATTTACTACTGTACCTAAACGCTCAGGAGATCTACTTAAGTTTTCTTATATATTTTCACATGTCATGAAAATGTAAAATGATTTATAGTATATTTTTTAATAAAACATTGACTATTGTAAATGCATTTATTACTTTCAACAGAAGTGTTACTATTACTGCTATATAATTCTTTCATTAATATCATCAGTGCAAGGAATAATCAATTTGTGAACTTTGTGTTGTAATTGAATTAATTGTTTAACTTTTAATAATCCAGAAGTATTGAAGTTTACTTTTTATGGATAACTGAAGATAGACAGCAAGGAGAAACAAATTATTGGCGCATGTCATAATATATAAATTACAGAAATAAAATTTTCTCACCATTTATGCATTGACAACAAAAAGAAATTAGAAAATAATTCAGATTTTAATTTTAATTCTTGCTAAAGTTCTAAAGCCTGCTTATATACTTTAAATAAATAATTTTAACTTTGCAATTCAGTTTATATAATTCTTATGAATATTAAAAACAATGTTACAGTTTTCATTTATAATAATCTATTTGAAAACATTTAATATTCCTCGAACATTTTGTTACGATACGGGAAGTAGCAGCAATTTGCCTTAAGACACGATGCCATACGCCACTAGTTTTGTTTCTTATTATAGCAGTAGCTTTTAACATATTTTTTAATTTAGAATTTTTATAAATATTTTGTAAAGATCTACTTCATTTACAAAAAGTTAGTATACAGTTTTTCATTATCTAAAATTGTCTAGAAAAAGTGTATATTAAAAAAACCTAACTTTTATATTAAAACAAACTTATTAAATCGAAATTATGTACATTAATTTATAAAATAATTAATAATATATATCTATATATTTGACATAATATAAAATAAAAATAATAAAATGAAAATAAAAATAATAAAATGAAAATATAAATAATTATTTACAATTTGATTTTGCCTTAAGACAAGTTGAATGAAATTTCACATATCGAATATAATCAATTTCATCAATAGGAATTAGCAATCAGCTATCAATTTTTTCCTAATTTGTCAAATAATATCTGTTGATTATAAAAGATTCTGCAAGTGCATCTTCCATTCACTTCTCATCAATTGTTTCTGATCTTCTGTATAGGTCAAATCGCCCATTTCCGCATGAAACAGTATGTCATTTATCATTTTCTCAGCCAACAGTCTCTGATCTTTTGCTAAACATCGCAATTTCGCTGCCACAATTTTTCCAAAATTTTCATAATAGCTGTCATCTAACAAAATTTCAATAGGCCAATCTCTTGGATGTTCATCTCTCAATGAATGACGCTTTCTTTTGGAAGGTGTAGGGTGACTTGATGCTTGCTCAGGAAATTCAGGAGTAGAAGCAGTTCCAGTAGAATAATCATCTGCATGAATTTCTATTTGCTCAATTTCCTGAAATTTTTTTTGTCTTCAGTTTTATAAACAGGAGAGCATTGGAATAATATTGCAACAATGGAATTTTCTACATTATCTTGGAAAAACATAGGCACCATTCTCTTCCAGGTCTAGTAGAAGGAAGTGGCTCATATTTTATAATTAATAAGGACTTTAGTAAAAGTGGTGCATATAATTGTTAAGGACTCTAGTAATAATTATAAAAATAGGCGCATATTTTTATAATTATTAAGGTTCACATAGTGTGAAGCTACTTGCAATAGTGAATGCAAGATACCAATTTATAATGTACTACTTCGGAGTTAATAGAAGAATATCAAAAGGATTGCATTTCAAACTAAAAAACTCTATAATAAGCCTCAGAAAAACCAATTGAGTATTCAGAAATATCTATCAAAAAAGTTGCAAAATACTTCCCTATGTAGTTGCAGCTAGGGCTTTCAATACCGTACTAAAAATCTGAATACTGGTATTTGATATTTGTTTTAATACCAGTATTATCAATGAAAAATTTAGTAGTCATATTTTTATTTACCACAGTTGTAATATTGACATATTAACATTATTATTGTTCTAAAATGAAAACATATTAATTAATTTATTACATAGAGAATAGGAGTAGATAGATACAAAAAAACGAGCAAGTAAACAATTATTTTACATATAATTAATTAGTAAACATTTTACATATAATAGGCTTGTATGGAATTATATATTTAAGGAAAGAAACAAATTTAATAAAATAAAGTAATAACTTTAATAAAATAAATAATTTAATAAAATATAAACAATTGTTTAATCTTCAAGCAAGGACCGAATTTTAGTACAAATATAACAAGTTGAACACCTTTTTCTCAATCTACACTTGTCAGCACAATAGTCATAAAGAAATAATCCGAGTACATTATTAGTCAATTTGAATTAGTACTTAGTATAGTGTATTTAGGTTATAATCCAATCATCATTAAATATCAACACATCACAAAGATTTATAAAACATTATTGTATTTTCTGATTATCTAATAAATAAATAAAATAATTCTATACAAACGATTTCTAAGAATCTGCAACGTATGCATAAGAAAGAGGTCATGCACCACCAAAACCACTATTATCATTGATTATCAAACTATTCATCATTCCATGATTGGACTTAGTAAATTGTCATTATAATGAAATAATAAATAAATACAAATTATTGATAGGAAGATATACAATAAAAAGAATTATAATGTGTCGATTGTGTTTTTTGTTTAAAAAACATTGATAATGAATTAGATCCACATAGACGATTAATAATTTTTATAAATGGGTTTCATTCATTAGGCTGTATATAATATATAAGTCCTAGTTTCATCTGATTTGAAACACTTTGAAAATGAATATGATTAAACCTTTCCGGCAGTCAGATTTAAATTGAAAAAAGAAAGATCTACAAATATTAAGTTTTTTAAGTGAGTCGCATTTTTGAGAATGTTTCTGAAATTTTGACCTCAAGATTTAGAATGTATAAAACAAACTGAGACAAACTATTGAATAAAGACATATCATCACACCTGGTTTAAACTCTTATGATTATGAGTAACTTCATCAGCAAAATACAGGAAACATTATGTACACTATTTCAACAATGAGGAAAAAGTATACCTTAGTAGGATATAACTTTATCATGAGATGATTATAATTACTATTATTTATATGAGTCAGATATGAACTTACTTGATAACAGTCAATTTCATCCACACTTGAACGAGAAGATTTTATCATTGTTTGATCGTCATCCAAAAATTTTAAAAGATTAAAATACCATAATGTAGGTACGTATTCAGTCCCAGATAGTTTAGACTCTTCTACCTTTTTCTTTTCTTTTCGGTAGGTCGTCCGTAGGGCATTAATTTTTTTTACAATGGTGTCACGATCGGCTTTTGGTTCTATTTTTTTATATAAAACTATTAATTTATTATATGCATTTGTTTTCTTTTCTCTATTGTGATAATCTTCGTGTTTCATTTGCCAAAGACAAGGTTGATTTCTATATGTATCAATAAATTCCTCCAAAATCCTTCTAAATCCATATGATTCGTAATGATTTGTCATGTTTTTTATTAACTGTTCACTTTAATTTTAGCCATTTATTACAGAAAATAGCATGTTTAATGTTTGTTTATTCCATTATTATTATATTGTCTTAGGTCTATATTTATAGAAAACATAAACAACGTGTGTTAGTGTCAATACATTGTCAAGAGGTCAAGAGTGCTACTAAAGCGTGACATGCGCTACCAACCATAGCATAAAAATTTTTTAGAAAGCATAGATAAATAAACATAAAGAAAGCCATAATGGCTCGTCTCCATTGCACGAACCCGTACGGCAAACAGGAAACCGTTGCGAACAGTATTCGCCGTGCGCGTCCGTGCAATGAGGCGTACATTAGTAGTCCCTGGATGCTTATTTATCTATGCCTGGATAATTCACGCATTCACGCTTCATCCGCAATTGTAAGAGCGTCTTTTTGAATTGCAATAAACATATACTTATTCATATATGACAATAAATATATTGCCTTCTATAAAGCCATCATCAAACCAATTTGGACATACGGCATACAGCTATGGGGATCAACTTCCAACTCAAACGCTTTAATAATTCAAAGATTTCAAAACAAGTTATTAAAAGAAATTTTGAAAGCACCAAAGTATGTTCCAAATTGGTTAATACACAAAGACACAGGCACTAGCACAGTTAAGGATGAAATAATCGCTTACTCACACAAATATAGAAATCGCCTAGCTGATCACCCAAACTTGCTCGCGAGAAAACTTCAAATCAACTCTACCAGATTAAAAAGAAAATTTCTTCTGCACTAATCAACAATAGATAAGACCTTCGACAAATCACTGGCAATGGTCAGATGATTTGTATTTTGCCAACGCCTTCAGTTTCATGTCAAATATTTTACTTGTTGTCCGTTTCAGGACAGTTGTAAAAATTATTAAAATAATAAAAAAAAAATATATTGCCTTCAAGCCGCATCCAAAAAATTCCATGGAGTACTTCTTCACTAATAAATTTATCATATACTAATGAACTAAAAATACCAATGGTGTGAGCATTGTGCCATAAGGGTTTATATACACTTAATCAGCCAAAATGCCATTTTTCTATAATTTTTCATGTGAAAACTATTAAATGTGTCGATACAAAAATTCATACACAATTACAGGTAAAAATATTTGTTAGAAAAAATGTAACAACAGATCTGCGGGAGCACCTCTCGAAAAACACGTTTTGCGGTGACTCGATCTCTGAAGAAAATCATCCGAAATTAAAAAACCAAAAAGATTTCAATAAAGAAATGATAAATCTAGTAATTAATCGAATAAATAAGCAAAATAATAACTTGTGACAGAATGGCGGTTTCTTATAAAAAAAACGGGTATTAGCCGAAATGTTGACCTTAAATTGTTCATAAAAACCAAAATATTTATCGGATAGAAAAAATCTTCGATTAATCACAAATAATATACTTAAGAAGATTATGTTAAAATTTGAGTCAAATCGGATTGGCCGTTTTTGAGTTATGTTGGTCACCGATTTTGAAAACACCATTTCGAAAGTTAAAACAAAAGTTAAAATTATTTATTTCAATTATATAAGTGATGAGCTTTATAATTTTAGCTAAAATTAAAATTAAAATCCGAATTATTTTCGATATTCAAAAACAAAAATTTTAAACAAGGTCTACGACATCGTGCCTTAAGGCAAATTGCGGTAACTCTCCGTACCGTAATGAAATGTTCGAGGAATATTAAATGTTTTCAAATAAATTAGATTGATATAAATACTGTTATAAGAATATTTATAAGAATTATATAAACTGAATTACAAAGTTAAAATTATTTATTTAAAGTATACAGGTGAGCTTTAGAATCTGAATTATTTTTGATATACAAAAAAAAGAAATATTTTTTTTTCTAAAAGCAATCGTTTTGTCAACACAAGCAGAAAGTTTTTTTAATCATTCAAATCGAATGCTTAGTTCTCTCAAAAACTGCCATTTTTTTCGTATCTTTAAAATGGCTAGACTTGCTTTTGCCAAAATCTAATCACCACTTCTCACAATCATTACAAATTGAATGTTTTTTGAATCGTTCAAATCGGATACTCCGTTCTCTCAAAAACTCGATTTCTATTTTCTGCACTCTTTGCTCCGTATCTCCGTAACGGCTGGACCTGCCTTTGCCAAAAACTAATCAGCACATCTCCCTATCAATGGAAATCGAACGTTTTTTGAACCATTCAAATCGGTTGATCCGTGCGCTCGAAATCGCGAACAAAAATTGCGTATATACAAAATATACACACACACATCAATTTTTTCTGAGGTATGCCCAAATGTTCAAAAACCTCTGAAACTTTCGACTTTCGACCCATAATATAACTTACCCTACGGGAAGTTAATAATTTCTGTCGCCAAGAATAATCAAGCAAATTTTTAGAAAACGTGGACAAAAAATGAGGTTTGCCAAAATGTTCAAAAACCTCTGAAACGTGAAGATATGCAAAAATTTTCAAAGAACCTTTGAAACTTGATTTTTTGAATGATTCAAATCAGATGCTTCGTTCTCTCAAAAACTACCATTTTTTGCACACTTAGCACCATATCTCCAAAATGATTGGTTCTGGCTTTGCCAAAAACTAATCACCACTTCCCTGCATCATTACGAATTGAATGTTGTTTGAACCATTGAAATCGGATGCTCCGCGATCTCAAAAACTCGATGAATATTTTGTGCACTCTTTGCTTTGTATCTCCGAAACGGCTGGACCTGTCTTTGCCAAAAACTAATCAGCACGTCTCCCCATCAGTAGGAATCAAATGTTTTTTGAATATTCCAAATCGATTGAAACGTACGCCCGCAATCGTAGACAAAAAACACAATATCCACACAAAAAACACACACACACATACATCCATTTTTTCTAAGGTATGCCAAAATATTCAGAATTCTCTGAAACGTAAAGATAAGCAAAAATATTCATTTTCGATTTTTGGACGATTACTATAACTTAGCCTACGCGAAGTTAATAACACGAAATATTCAATACGTAACGTATTCGCATTATAACCTATATAGAATATAAAGATAAATAAACATAAATATGAATCTATTTGCTATAAAATAAAACTCTTATTTATATTTTTTCGTGAATGATTTGAATCTGATCACAAGTTCAAAGATGACTATAGAAATATATTGTTCAGTTAATTAAAGAAATTTAACATGCCAAAAATTGCCTACCTTTACCCATATTTACGAAAAACTAACCACCAATTTATATCTTTCATTTGCACTGAAATCATAATCACCGAAGTTAATAAAGTTACAGCACTTTTTCAAATTCAATTAGCACTTCAATTAATTTTCACTAATAACGACCTCGTCCATTAGCGTAACACTACTTAGTAACTTTTAGAACGGACGCCCGTGCGTTCCTGTAACACTGTCCTTAAAGTATACAAATCTAACAAAATTTAACATTTTCACTTCTTAGGATTTGTTTTTAAATTGTTGTTACGTTGCATAACCTATTTCTTGCACATGTAGTTTCACGTTTGACGTTTGAAGGTTTTCGGTACAATGAATAGGGGTTAAGTAAATAATATCTCAAATATAAAAGTACATTCGACATAAACAAAATATTTACAGGTGGGCGAAGTAGTTGAATGAGTGCTAATATTCATTATTTATTTTGCTATTTTTATTTCAGCGCATATGCTTCAAAATATGTAGCGCTCTTATTAGAACACAATCTGTATTATTTATTATTTATTGTTGATTAGTTTTGAGAACGTTACTATTATCCTCCACTGTTTCAGTATAGGTAGAGTGATTTATAGTATTTATTATTATTAAATGACAAAAACACAAAATCATTCAATATATAAAGAAATTTTTGAAAAGTTAAATAGTTTAAACTTATAAGTAATTATTATAGTTTTTAGTGCTATGTTAAAGTTTAGGATGCATATATGTGTTTGCATTTACATAATGTACAATATAATTATATTGCACATTGCGTACACATAGTATAAGGAACTTTAGACGAGTCTTCTATTCTATGTAAGCGATTTTATATATATATATATATATATATATATATATATATATATAATGCAATACAAATAATTATAATAAAACTAGTATCACCATATAATTGGGCATTTAACTCTACCTATTCTAGAAAGAACAACCGTTTGGGTAGCCGTCTTCAAAACCAACATAGTTAGGGCTGATTGCTGTTCAAATAATAATAATAAAAGTAGTATCACCATATAATAAGGCCATTTCTTATATACTATTAGCCACAGCAACTTTGTCTCACAATGAAAATATTGAATTGATGATAACAATTGTTTAAAAACAATTATTATTATACATATTTATTAAGATGTAAATACGAACACACTACACTCAGTTTTTATCACAAACTTTAGTTCTAGAAATTACAGATGTTTCGAGATTAATGTATGTCTCATCTTCAGTGTAAATTATTTTGAAAATATGATTATTGAAACATTATAAAATATTAAGTATTAATTATTACCAACTTTCTCTAACAAGGCTAGACACTATACTGAAACACATAAAGTGTGTGTGGGTATGTTTAAAAAACCAATTCATAGGTACTTATAGCTAAAGGGAAAAGGATAGACAGTGTCTATTAGACACGATAGATATTTTTATAATGTAAACAAATGGATGAGCGCTGTTTATACTAATATCACTAAATATTTTATAATGTTTCAATAATTACATTATTGAAAAGAATTTACATTGAAGATGAGACATTTCTTAGTCTTGAAACATCTGTAATTTCATGAATTAAAGTTTGTGATAAAAACTGAGTGTAGTGTGCTCATATTTGCATCTTAATATTCAATCCACTCTTAATACCAAATCTTTATATATATATATATATATATATATATATATATATATATATATATATATATATATTAATTTAGAAATATGAAATATAATCAAGTTAGCAAGAACAGTTTTAACGGATAACACAAAATGCTATTTTAGAATTTAAATTATAACACACTGATGATGAGACAAATCTAGTCTCAAAATGTTTGTAAAATTAATATTATTTAATAAATTAGTGCAAAAAAGAGTGCTGTTTGTTCATATTTCTAAATTAATAGAATACATATAATATAATATATATATATA